TTAATGATATACATTTGATGTATGCAGCAACTCATGTTAACCCAAAATCTGGTACAACATAATTATACATTGAGAAACAGAAGACAAATCCAAACTTGAACTTCTTTATTACATTTAATAATTTCATGATACAGCAATATCAAATGTCTCATTATCAGTTCATCATATGTATTTCTAGTTAAAATGACTACTATTTATTTATTTATTTTATTTTATTTTTTTAAGTTATTTTATTGCTACTTTTTACATATGTAAGTGTAATGTTTATATGAATATTTATATCTTGTTTTATCTTTTAACTGTATATTTATATGTACTTTATTTTAACATAGTACACTCAATATATTATTTTTTTATGATGTTTTTGTCTTGATGCTTTTATGGGTTTGTCTAAAGTTCGGCTAGGTTTTGAACCCTGGTCTTGTAGAAACAGTATTTCCTTTCAGATTATTATTTTTTTCATAGTTGGAATGATAAATAGACTTAAACTGAACTTTAAAACTGCATTGGAAATTATGTATTAATTATTACTTTATTAATTTAATTAATTATTATTGTTGGTAATTAGGTCATCTAATATGTCAAGACAAAAAAAGTATAAAGAGTGGATGCTTTGTTACAGTAATCTGCAACAGCAGTAGTACACAGACGCAGTGCCATGAAGGCATGTAAAATGTGTACGGCAAAACTATACAGCATTATGTGTTACATCTGAAATGGAATAAAGAGTAAAAGAACACATTCAACATACTCAAGACATTTACTCTACCCATACGCAATTTGCTGTGTAATGGCACCAACATAAAAGCAGTGAGCAAACACAAAAATGGGGCTAGTTGATAGTGAGCGTTTGTGCCGTTTGTTGTCACTCCACTCTCTGTCACAATGATGGAGTGTCTGTCTGACAGGTGCTGTGATTTCCCTGACCCCCCATTGTATTCAGACAACACAGGCTCCTCACACAGGAAGAGCAGAGGAAACAATGGTACAGGTGAGTCTTGAAGAATTTCCCCTCAAGGGCTGCCCACCTGACAGGTAAGGGCGTGTGTGTGTGTGTGTGTGTGTGTGTGTGTGTGTGTGTGTGTGTGTGTGTGTGTGTGTGTGTGTTGAGTTTACCTACCATCTCAAAAATACTAGATTTTCACAGCTGCAGCTTTTAATGTTGTTAGTCTTTCCCCACTAGAGGGTGTCCCCTTCTCAGAATCTTATACTTATATCTTGAAGACAGAAGAAAACTTGTATCCCTACTAATTCCTACTCCTCATAATAAAAGATGTTAAACATTAACATGTCTTCAGAACCTCTTTTGCCCATTTCGGCCCATGATAATTCTAACTCGTCTTTATCTGTAGTGCAGATGTTACATTGTACGATGATCCTCATGAGGGACTGCTCTATACCGTCCAAGATTAGTAAGTAAGGGTACATGTGTGTTAAGTCCAGCTCTGCCTGCCTGTCATTATTTGCGGATTAGTGCTGGCCTGCACCCTCTTTGATGTGGACATCTTTTACACTTCCGTCCCATTGAGCTCTAGGGACACGGTGAAGGGAACAGAGAGACAAACAATGGATTGAAGACGAACAGGCATAAGCAGGAGTAATTTTCTGCTTTGTCTTGAGCTGCAGGAAAACTTCCTGTAATGAGGAAGATAAAATGTCTCAACAATTACTGCTGCACATGTGAGCAATCACCTGAGAGAGGCCCCACACACATGCAAATGCACATATGCCCAAATGCATATAGAACATACATATATGCATTTCTGCACACCTGTTCCATACACACACACACACACACACACACACACACACACACACACACACACACACACACACACACACACACACACACACACACACTGTACACAGTCATGTGTTCTCTGTACACACACAAAAGCACACAGACATGAGACTCTTAATCATCCTGTGGGGTCTTCTGCCCTCTGCAGGACACACAGGAAATAAACGCAGCACATCATAGTATGGCACTATACGATCATATTCTAGTTTTCATATTCTAGCTTTTTGATAAACATTATTTATCCTGAAAGACCTGTACAGTAGTTGTTTAAATTTTATTTTATTTTATTTTTTCCTTGACAAGATTTATGGTTTTAGTTTAAAACCCTGTGTTTTTTTTATAGAGCTGATTCCTTTTGTGGGTGTTCCATCCACAGAGCAGCCTATCTGTATGGCCAGTGTATGGCTGAGTGGAGCCACCTTCCAGAGGCAAACACAAGGCCTCTTTCAGGCAGAGCAACTACAGAAGGCATATAAGGGCACTCAGTGTTCCACCCAAACCACAGGATTTATTTACCTTCCAGCGAGGGGCAGCCAGTAAGAGGAGATGGAGTGTGCTTAGAGAAAAGTAGGGGTCCAGGGTGTGTGTGTGTGTGTGTGTGTGTGTGTGTGTGTGTGTGTGTGTGTGTGTGTGTGTGTGTGTTTGTGTATATGTTTGCTTGAGGGGCGGAGAGGAGTAGCATAGTGATTATGTGACATTGGATAGCTTGAGATAGAAAGAGGATGTCATGACCCCCCCCAAAAAAAACAAAAATCCATAAACGTCATAAAACAGACACACACCCAAAAAATACACCAAGACATTCCATTTCAAGAAACCTGCATTTGTTTATCTTTCCAAAACAGTCTTTACCTGTCCAAATCACCTTCTGTACTGTGAGAAGACTGCGGTGGGACAGGGGATGTTTAAGAGAGGAGGAACATGAATGAGAGCCAGAAAAAAGGTCGATAAGGGCGGGGGTTTGGGTTTCCTGTTTCCTTAGCCCTCTCCCTTCCCTTCCCTTCCCTTCCCTTCCCTTCCCTCCCCTTACACAGCACAAGTAGACTCATTCAATCTGTGTGTGCATACAAGCACATTGTGTGCATCTGTTGGTACTGTACTTTGATGGCATGATCGTCTAAACCAGCGACACCCTTGGAGCAAGCAGTGCCAAATTGTACCTTAAACTTTCTGGTCATGTTATGACTAAAGTGAGCAAGTCATCTGTGTAAAGGGTGTATGTGTTGAGTATATCAGCAGCACAAACCTATTTTCATGTTTTCATAGCCACAAAATGTTTCATGTGTTAACAAAGATGATTTATACACAAATCAAGAAAAAATAATTACAGGGTTCATGAAAATTTTGGGATGAGAAACTGAAGTCTTGAGCCACAAAAGGCCAGAAACATCCAGCAATACGTCGGTCCAGGGTTGTGGTGTACCGCTTTACTCCAGCTGTCTTTCATTATCACAGTTGCATGTTAACCAAATGACAAACAGGAAATTATTCCACAAACAGGGATTTTCTGTCCAGACAGAGGATGTTTGAAGCCATGTGTGTGATTGCATTGAGCAAATCATTACATTTATTGCCATCTGGTACTGGAGCAGATAAACACTGTGAAGATTTAACCACGGAACTAAGTTATGACTAGTTTATCTTAAAGTTTAGGATGAGGAACGAAGACAAAAGAATCATCAGACTTGAAGTGTGTCAGTTAAAATTAAAAGCAATGACAGCTTACTGTTAATGAAAGTCCATGGTATTGGTGGCGGTCTCACTCTGATAATAAAACTAAAAATCCTTTATTCAGTCATGGATAAATAAATCAACGCATTTTGTCTGAAGTGCTGTCCCACGACCACCATGATCATGGCAGCTCTGAAACTTTGGAATATCTGCCCAAACTTACTGCCCATCCCTTGACACTTTTAAGACAAAACTCAAGACGTACTTATTTTCAATGGCTGTTGGTTGATCTTAGTGGGTTTTAGTATTTTATTTTATATTGTTTGGTCTTCTTGTTCTGTTTCTGTTTTATATTTATATATCATATATCGTTTCTTTCAGTGTCATTTATTGGTGTTATGTGCCTTTTTTTACTACTTTTCAATGTCCTTTATTTGATATTGATGTGCCGTGCACTTCAATTCGTACTTCAGTCAACTCTGGTTGTTTTAAATGGGCTATATAAATAAACTTGATTTGACCTGATTGTACAGCGGTGTTTACAAGCACACGACTTCCGCACGTCACCGCCATGTCATCACCCTAAGGCCGCACCCTAAAGCTTTTGGATTGGTGTTAAGAGACTGGCTAAATGTTACACACTGGACTTTTAAGACTAACACATCAAATGTTTGTTTAAGTGCTTTTCTGTATCTGTTAGAGTTAAAATCTTGGTTTATTAAGGATTTTATCCAGTGCTAATAATTTGTGCATTTGAGTAGCACCTGTATCTCTATTTAGATAGCCTTTCTGTGACATTACAATTAAATTCTGCTAAAAAAAAAAAAAATGCTTATCTTGTAAGTATCTATGTATACAAATGCACCTCAATGTTTTCTGTATTTTTTGCTCTGTGAGATTCTTTACTGCTTTAATTCAATTTATGCATTCAGATCTTTCCACTTTACTCTTTACTTTACTCTCTGACTTTCTATCATATTTGCTGGTTCCTAGAACAAGGACATATGGATGTCAGAGACCTCTCTATGGACTCTTTCTTCAGTTTTTCAGTTCTACTTCTTCTGACATGTTCCTGTGAGCCAACACCTCACTAAAATATGTGTTTTTCCCTTCGGTTCTGTACAAACATATAAACAGAATTCATTATGGTGACTAGGAAGTTTGTCCATGTTTAGTTTTTTGCTTTTCTCTAATAGCTGATTGGTTTATCTGACCCGAATGTGGCATATTATTTTGAGAGGTCAATTTCTTGGACCCCACTGAAGCAAAATTATTAAATCACTGACAACCTGACACAGAGATGCTGAGTAGCAGGTTGTGAATTGATTTTAATGCTGCTTGTTTGTAATTTTTCAACTGAAATCTATTATGTGACTGTATGTGAAGGGGTAGGCCCAGTTCCTGTCGCCAGTTCTTGGGTCAATAACAGCATTGCCAATGGAATCTTACTGAATAAATTAGTCACCATTATTCAGCACCTTTAAAATAACTTTCACTTATAGTGCCATTTACAGTCAGAAGACCATAGTACAGAAGTGTCATTTATAGCAGACAAACTTAATTTGATTTACAGTCAATATTTTTCACAAAAATGTTTGTATCCTCAGGTCCAAACAAACCTGTTCAAACATTTGCTATGTCAAAACATTTGCAAAGCCTTTTAAAACAGTTTTGAAACCTGTGCTGTTTTTTATAAGCTCTTATATTTCGGTACATACTTTATGACGCAATACTTCTATCATGTGTCGGTATACTTGAAACTGTTAGGTGTACACGGGAAGATCTAGAGAAACCTTCATGGGGTGGCATCAAGACTTTAAGGAGTGGCAGAAATACATATCAACATATAATTTAATTGCAAACAATCACATAAATCAATATTTGCTTTGAAAAGCCACCAAATGAAAATATTTGTACTCAAAAACATTACATTATTGTTCACGTTAGTAAAGATCTAAAGGAGGCATTAGAAATTAATAAATTGTTTTATCTTAAATACTGGTCTTCTCTTATAACTTGAGCCTGTCACTTAGTCTAAACTGTGGCCAGAACAGATCATTACCATTAATCTAAATAAATGAATTTAATTTGACAGCATTTGACTCCAAACTGGGGTGGCGGCTGTCACCCTATGCCACCATTTTAAAGCCAACCCTGGGTGAATGGGGATATTGTGTCTCTCTCACTCTCATTTTGTACTCTGTTTTGGGATCTACACGTTTGAAATCGACAGAAGTGTCACCCCTTAGTTTATAGTGTGCATGAGCTGGTAAAACACATAAGAGCTCACTCATCAAACGTACTGCTCTACAGCACCGCTAGTGGTTCAAAACGATGCCTTAAGGAAACTTGACACTGGGCCAGACCTGGCTCTTCAGTGGCATATCACCAAGACTTTTCCTCTTCTGCACAATGCTAACATCTGCTATGTTGCTGTGGGAATATTCAGCATCAGGGAAACAATTGAGGGTAGAGGCAGCTTGACCAACAGCTGTGAACTCTGAAGTGCTTTCTCTCAGCCGGGGCGTGAAACAGACAGAAAGAATGCAGACTTGAATGGGCTCCCTGTTTCTGCCTTTTTTCTCTAGTTATTCCGACTCGGCCTTTTGGGGGGACCCTGGCAACAGCATGCATGTGTATGTAGTGCTAGACAAAATGCCCCTAAGTAAACGATCCCACATTAATCCTCATGTTACCCATGTCATCCCCAGGCTCTTTGCACTCCATTGCTTAACAAATATACTGATAAGAAAAAATATTTGTTGTGCAATCTGGGTTATCTGTAATCAGGTTGTTCAAATAAAAAGTCTTTAAAAGGAGATGCTCTGTACACTGACATACAAAAAGTCACCACTGGTCAGTTTTACGCTTATAAAAGACAAAGCATTTACGCTAATATTCAAGTCTTATTTACCCAACAGATAAAATACAAACACACAAACATCATATAAGTCTTAACATAATGAGAATACCATAAACACAGTGCTTTTCCAGTTCTTCTGCTGGACAGTTGATGGGATTTGTAAACACTGGAACACCTTGGGTTAACATTACCAGTGTATTTCAGCACACTAACACAATTTTACATCAAGACGGCAAGAAATTAATCTTTATTTTGGATCCTTGAATTGCTGAAAAATCATTTTGTGATGACAGAAAGTAAAATAACCCACTGCCTCAATGAGAGTCCTTTAAAGTGATTTTCTTCTGAAAACACTTTATAGTCTTAAACATTCTGAAGTGTGCTTCTTCACAGAAAACAGCAGCTGTGGTCAGCTTGAATTCATCTCAGTTACAATGGTGCCAAGTTTTCACACCACAACAAAGTATCAAACTTCCAAAGAAATGTCTCAAACCACTCCTACAGCATAATGAAGTTCTCCACTGTCTATCTGTACGCTCAATTTGTTCCAAGCACTAATTATTTCTCTAAAATGTGGCTATATACAGTACTCTCAGCAGAATTATCTGACCTGAATATGGCATTTTATTTTGAGAGCTCAATTTCTTGAACCCTACTGAGGCAAAATTATTAAATCACTAAAAACCTACACAGAGATGCTGAGTAATTATGAACAGCTCAGCTCAGTTTGAAAAGAGTGATGACTTGTCACAGAAGCACCTCATTTATTTGAGCTGAATGAACAGAAGGACTTGAGACTTGACTCACTGATGACTTGACTATTGACTTGCAAGCAAAATATTAATGTCTTAGGTTTCTGGAGTAAAATCAAGCCTTGAATGTTTAATCATTATGTGTTGAAAGAACTCACATAACTCACTAAGGGGGCTGCCCTGATAGCTCACCTGGTAGAGCTCACCTGGTTTGAATCTGACCTGTGGCCCTCAGCTGCACGTCATCCCCTCTCCCTCCCCCTTTTCTGTCTATCTTCAGGTGTACTATCCAATAAAAGCAAAAAGCACCAAAAAAATTAATTAAATAAAATCAAAAAATACATATATATATATATTTTTTTAATTCAAATACTATGGAATTTTATTAGTTTAGCATTTAGAGACCTGAAAGACTTGCAAGTAATTAGCTGATGACGAGTTGTGACTAAACCTTTCCTCAAGGAACTGAGACTTGAATTGAGACTTGACTTGGACTCGCTTCCAAAAGACTCAAAAAACAGCTGTTACTGATGTTTTGATACTTTTTTCCACCACGAAAACATTTAATTCAAGTTGGCAATAGCATCAGTTTTCTATGAAGGTTGAACCCCCAACATTTTACAGTCAAACATATACCTTTATGGCAGAAGCAAAAATGTATTGCTTTCATATGATTATTGCCACGTTTTTTGCACAAATTGACTACACCCATTTTTTCAACTGTACTAGGTATTTCAAAGTATTCCTGCTTAAATATTTCAGTACTGAGTCTAGGCAGCTCAAGGCCTGCCAGGTATAATTAATTCATATTTATGTTTTAAACACTACGTTAGTATAAGCCCACTACTATATGTTCCTCTAATGCATATCCCTTTCCATGAGCAGCGTGGCAGTTTCAGCAGAGCCTCGGCCAAACTGAACACAATGCTGCCATTGAACTAGAGTCACAGTGGATACCTTTATATACCACCAAGAGTGACAGTTAACGCAACAGCACCTGGGTTTCATTTAAAGTGATAGGCCACATTAATACAGTTACATGTTTACATCTCATACATTAGTTCTCACCAAAACCCATCAACATACACAAATCTCACAACTAATAATTTTAAAGGGTTTCTATCTTGAATTTTGATGGTCAGAATATTTCTGGGGATTTTATTTCTTTGAGTTGGGAAGTGATTAAAATGCCTCCTTGTACAAGAGTTTTGTTAATGCGTCCATGAACACTGAAATTAGTGAATCGGCTCTGATTTAACATTGTGAGATTTAGAGGAGCCCGCCGACAGGAGCAGCGAGTTATTAACAGAGAGAAGAATTTGTAAAATGACACCCAGGCTGCCTGTTTACTATGAGGTGAGGAGGCACTACGGGGAAATACATTACTACAGGTATGTAGTACTGGGAAAATGTTATGTGTTGAAGTAAGATATATTTATATGTGTGTGCGTGTATATATATATAAAATCTCAATATCTCTGTCTTAACTGGCCATTTTTTATGGTATATTGTAATTGTATTATAAACTCATGAATTACATTAGAAGAGAATGGCTTTAAATTGCTTTTGCAAAGAATACTCCTCATGAAGACAACACATCACAAAATGCAATCCCACATTCATTTTACCTAGGTCAGCTATGATAAGCCCTAAAAAAAGCACATCAGGTCTAATTTAAAGTGATTCTATCAACTGTCTAGTCTAGCGCAGATGTATAAAACTACAAGCTGAACTATGCAGAATTAAGCGCTAGCATTATAAACCCTATGATCATCCTCTCTTTCAGACAGACACACACACAAACAAAACACATACCACTTTCACTTTCACTGTAGTTTATCCCTGAAAATCTAAACATGAACAACTATCAATAAAATCTTACATAATAATCTCTTACAAGTCAGGCTTGACCTCTATGCTTATTTCATTTTAAATGAAATACAGACATAAAGCTTAGACACCAGGCTTCTCAGTAAACACAGTATGCAAATAAATAGTTCTCTTTATCAAGTGGCTCTTCATTGTTACAATGAGGCACATCGTTGGTGAGTATGAATAATATTATATGGCCCAAATCTTACTGTCACCAGTAAAATATTTTGTCTTTTGGCACCTTTGCGTATTACTTTTGGTCTGTGCAATAATGGCTTCTTCTGGCTCCGTTCCACCGTGTGCAGGGTTTTGCAGATTCACAGCTATATTTTTTACCTCTACATTAATGAAATGGATGCTCCTCAAGCAAACTGATGGATTTATTGATCAGTGCCTTTTCATCATCCACAAATCTGTACCCAAACAGCTTCATGGTGGGTCCACACACTCTCTGCACTACCTGAGCCAGTGTAAAGGGAATGCTAAATCTCCACTTCTCTGCCTGCTCTGACGAGTTCTTCTGGGTGGAGTAAATCCCGCTAGCTTCCTGTGTGGTCTGGGTGTTCCTCAGAATCCACTCCCTAGCTTGGGGACTAAACGGTATCCCTGTGAACCTGTACATCTCCTCTGCCTTCTGCATGGGGTAGCGGGCAATATCCTCATAACGCACCAACATGTAGCGGTTCCTCAGCCAGCGAGGTCTGCTCAGTCCCACCTCTGCAGACATCCTTATGTGGTCACAGTTTCCTTTGAGTCTCTTCACCTCCTCGTCATCTTCAGGCACCTGGCCGTCCTGCGCCCAGGCCTTCCACGTCTGGTACTTCGAAGAGAAAGCCACCATGCGGGATGCTAAGATGGCCCGTGGATCTCGGACTAGCTGGATCACCCTCACATCCAAGCGAGGATCCTCCACCAAAGGCTGCAATGTTTCCAGCTGGCGTACACGGACAGTTTTAATGGCATGGTGTTGCTTGGAAAGGCAGGATTCAGATGCGAGGGTCAAGTTCAGTGGCCCACAGCGACGAGTCTTACAGTGATATCTAAGACAAGAGTGGTATAGTTATTGCAAATATCTTTCAAAGAGTTGCAAAGTGGGAGGACTTATTTCATCTAGGGTTCCTGAAGTAAATGTGTCTTTTCAAGTTCAAAAGCTTGTATGGGCTTTAAGCTTTCATGGTTGAATCATCAATACAAAAGAATGCCAGATTTGTTTGAGGTATAATCAGAAAGTACAAGACTGTGGGAATAAAAACGTAAGGGATGAAGTCAACTATGACTCCCAAGGGGCATTTCAGTAAGAAACGCTGTCACAATTTCAAATGTCTTTGTATTTTAATTTGGAATCAATGTCAGAAGAATCCCAATCCCAATTGTACTGAAAAAGCGTTCTGAATGTGCTAAAGTTCTGCAACTAGCAACATAGGCTGAGGCTCACAGGTACATTTATATCATTATTAAAAGAAAGCTTTCAGACAGGAACTTACAGTGGGATAACAAATAGTATGAGAACTAATAGCCCCTCCCTCTTTGCAACAGTATCACAGTTCAGTTCAATTTTAGTATCAAGAGAATTGACAATACCTCTCAAAAACATCTTTGATTACAGGAGAGCAAACAGGTTCTTCACAGAGTGATAAACTAGACTCTCTACGGAAAAGAGCTGGGGTTACGTGGTCCTGAGGTGGGGGAGAGATGAACTTCTCAAGAGGAGAGAAATCACACAGGAAAAGCCCTTGGAGTACATCCCGGTAGATTCCTGCCAACACTGTCCCGTTGTTTGCCTCTGTGGCCATGGTCAGCATGCGCTCGACGTGCCATAAAGGTTCAAATAGGTAGAACATGTTCTCCCCATGCTGGTTGAAAAATTCACCCACAAACGAAGAACCTGTCCGTGTGGTGGCCAAGAGTAATATGTGCTTACGGCCACCGCTGTAGTTGTACAGGCCTAAATCATCTAGATCTTCCTCCATTTGCTCCTCAGAGAGATTTGAGTAAATCCCTTTTGTACCAGTGAGTTTAGAGAGCAGCATTTTGAGCACCGTCAGGGAGCCATTTTGTGTTGTGTTGCTGTAATCCAGTGGAGTCTGTGGCGTCTGCTGCGGAGTCTGCCTCTGGATCAGCTTATCGGAGACCCTGATTAGATACAGAGACTTGATTAATACCTGTCAATTAACTACAGATGAAGGAGTATAAATATCTAAAATAGTTGCATTTAGCTGCCACTTTTATATGGAGCTACAGTATGTTTGGTCTTTCCTTTGTAGGAACAGTTTGATATTTTGGGAAATACACTTATTTTCTTTCTTAGTTAGATGAGAAGATTGATATCAATGTCACGTCTGTGCGTACATACGAAGCCACAGCCAGCAGTTGGTTAGCTTAGCTGGAAACGGGGCAGTGGATGTTATTACCTTTTCCAAAAGTAACATCCACTGCTCAGGTCTCTGTCATTTTTACATTTCGGTAAAGTAAGGATTAACATAGCCAGGCTCGCTGCTTCCCCCTGTTTTGTGTTTATGCTAAGTCTTATGTCATATGGGAGTGGTATCAATCTTTTCATCCAACTCTCACCTCAGTTTACAAGACCGTCTCTAGCCACAAGGACACACGAAGTTTGCATATGCAAAACAGTATTTTCCTCAGAAAGATGAAAGCTTATACGGAAAGTGAAGTTGGGATATAAAAGGCAAAGCTCTGGCTGTACTCGATCCAGAGCTTTATTTGTTTTTTGTATCCTAGGTTCTTATGATTTACGGCATTTTCTCCAGCAAAGTTAAGTTACACATTACCTTGACAGGATGTTGCTTTCCTTTTCGATGATGACCAGGGCCACGATGCAGATGAAGACAATTGCATATTTGGTCTTCATTCTCGAGTCCTGGCTTTGTAATTGGACGTCTAGGGTCTAATGTTGGTCATAGCTTGTCATGCAGAGGCTAAAGCTTCATTCTGCAATAAAAGAGGTTGTAAGTAAAGACATGTATGCAAAATAGATGATATTCTTTGTTTATAATGAAACTAAACATATATCATAATCCTGCTGCAAACTGTGTTCGGTCTTGACAACACTTTTATAGGTAAAGGGAATTGGTAAATGCAGTATAAAGACATGTCTCATATTGCATTCTGTGGAAGACAAAAAGCATCATAAAAATAATGGGAGAGAAACACAAAAGAGAAAATGATCCCATCTTAGCTCTGAAAGACAAACCTAAATTCAGCCAGTGTTTTCTGATATCGACATACAGTCACAGTTTGATCTGAAACCACAGGAATGTTATACAGCACGCAGGTTTTGTAAACTTGTTTGCCTCGTTTCTCAGAACCACAGAAAAAAAGACAGCGTTGCTTTTCGGTAGGGCAGGGGTCGGGCATGAAGAAGACGACGTATGGGAGAGAGAGGGGGTTAACGTAAACAGAGCTGGTTTTCAAAGATCGCAAACACAGTGGAAGGCTTCCACATGGCACTGAGTCTGGGGACACAGCCAGTACTGTGTGATTTCAACATCCCTTTTTTAACACGAATCCACTTTCAAAACTCAAGCCTGTTGCTGAGTTGTGCCATCTTACAGGTAAATTCATAGTCACAAGCCTCAACATGCCGACAGTCAAGTGAACTCAGATATACCTGACTTTAACCGTTTATCAGCAGACAACACAGTGCAAGTCAAAGCCTGGTAATATCAAAACTAAATCTTGCATCATTAACTGACTTTAGTGGCATCATTCCCATCCGCTGGGAGTATTGTGACATTGAATATCATTGGAAATTATACAGTACAACATATTTCTTAATTCTGAATAAATTGTCATGTTTTTTTTTCATGTTACTGAATGTAGACTGTCTGTACCCCCCCCCCCCCACACACACACACACACACACACACACACACGCCATTTGGACCTGTCAGGAGAGTGAATAATTTCTACAAAGCATATCATTAAGTGAAAAAGACACAGTTTCCAAGCCGTTGTGGAGTGATTGTGTGCTCTGTAAGTAAATATCACCCAATTATCTGAGCTTAATATGCCATAGCCGTCAAACTGTCAGGCTGAAGCACTTGAGCTGAGCACTTTTACATATTGAAGAGTCACTGGAGCGTTTAGCAAATCTGACTCTCTGCTCAAGCAGAAACACACATCACTCTGTTTATCATCTCACTACAAATTACATTAATGGCTGCCTTCAAAGCCTTGAGCAGCATCTCATGGAGACGCTGAAAGCTAAATTCCCACTGAAAGCTTTGCTGTTCATCCAGGGGTGTTAGTATAAACAATTAACTGTTATAGGCAAATACTGAAAACCATTATAAGTTGTGTAGGCGCTGTTTATCATTTCCATGTGATTGATTGATTTTAGTTTGGACATACTATTTTCCATTTGGAAATAAAGAAAACTACCCCCTGTGTGTGTGTGTGTGTGTGTGTGTGGTGCCCATTTAATTCTATAGCAGTCATTTAGGGGGGGAGGGGGCATTCAATTCAGGAGCATTTCCCCATCCCCGCCACTGAACCAGAATGAATACAAACTAATGAATACTTCTGCATACTAGTATCTGATTCCGAAATGAGAGCATGATGCTTTCAAATACTTAAAATTAAATCAGGAAAATGGTTATATGAGCAACTGACATCTATGATTGAAAGACTTATTGATTATAGTGTGCTGCATGGCAATCACAGCCTCCGTATTTGCACAATCATCATTTATACCGGCATCATATGAGGAAACATGTACATCACTCGTGTATCGTTTTGACAGCAGTGGAGACAGTGGAAGACTTTATCATTATTCATCATGTATAGCGTTTAAAGCGCATGGCAGTAGGATGTTTACGAGCTCTGCCGTGCGCCGGTGGCTCTAGGGTTGTTGTTTTTTTTTTTTTTTTAAACCAGTCATTTCCTCCCAGAATACATAAGACGTGCAGATGTTCGTGTTGCAGATGTTACAAACCTTTAGCTGGTCTCTCTCTGCAATCGAACAAAAAAACGTCCCTGATCTCGTGAGAAACAGCGCCGTAGCCCTTCGTAGCATCTTGCTGCATTGTCTCGGACAAGGACACACTGCTTCATTGTATCCTCGGACGCGGGCTCCTCTCCTCCGCCGGATGAATGAGAGGCAGCGCGGAGGCACGGACGTCTTGAAGAAACGACATCAAGGGAAGCAAAACGGACGCCAAGCGAAATGTTTCTTCTCTAAATGTTTAATTAAAGTTGACTTAAAAAAAAAAACGCTATGTCACAGAGGGATTTGTGGAATTTGTCGACACACGCCCGGCAGATGCGCCAACTTGCTACACAAACTAGTTTTGTGTTAAAATCTCATCGCTTCAAAACTTTTTCTCCAACTTTCCCCCATGTGCTAGACCATACTGCACGAGCGAGCTAACTGGAACCGCTTCACGTCACAGCTCGTGGGACATCCTGTGTAGGCGTAGTCACGTGGTCCCAAAATACCCTGCAATTTTGTATAAGTACCCCCTTGTTTAAAGAAGTACCTCCATATAGAGTCCATGCCACTTACTATGTTGCATCTGTAGTGCGCAAACATTTAATTGCGTGACCAAAACAATCATTATTCCACCCTGTTAATTAAGTAATCATTGTCATAAGATGAGATAAGATAATGTAATGCATTGTTTATTTATCCCATCACATCTTCAGAGAAACAAGCATAAACTGTACAACATAAAACATTCCTCTTTATAAAACCTCCTTTAACATAGGCCTGTTTTTGAAAAGATAAACAGAACACAATAAAAAAAAAATACATCCACTGAGACAATTAATAAGAAATAACAAAAAGTAGAGCTTTTCTTTAGGCTGGAAACAAACGCACTCATTGATCCTGGTCAGGAATCAGTTTCAACATCCTTCGCTTTCAGTTCTTTGTAACTTGTCATGACTTGGAAATTTCCCCTGACTGCAATCCTATTACCCTTGTAAGATGTGTCCTAAGCTACTTCGAAAGAGCAAAAGAATCAAAGGCACAAATACACAATTCTGTATTGTGAGCTCATCCTTGGAAAATTTGACCTCACAGACGGGACTGTATGTCCACTCATTCAGGGCTGTATCTGCCTGCGGTATAGGGAGACATTTTAATGACATTTTTACAATGATTGCTGCTACGTGGTGGGGTTAGAGGAGATTAAAAACATCTACTGCAGGTCAAGCAGCAGCCCTTTTGTATCATCGCCCCATTATCTCCAAAATTGTTAGAATTTGAAGGACAGCTATGACCCGCTTCAGATTGCACACAAACGCCAGCTATTTCAAAAATGTGCTGTACGTGTTTCTGAGTCACTCTTATTCTCATGCTGAAGAACATTCAAGGTGTCTAATTTGGTCCGTCTTTTATCATGTACACACAGTAGTCCTTTTTCACTGTAGACATTTTGACATGTTACAGGTGTGGCACAGGTGGCACAGGTGTAAATGATAAGATGAATGATGCCTAAATTCCATTTAGCTGCTTAAGTTTCAGGGTCCTGCTATTGTGCATGCTGGCTCACTGTCACAATCATATGGGCCACACAAATCATGGGTGCCCGGTTAGCTCAGTTGGTAGAGCTGGCGTCCCATGTACCAAGGCTGAGTCCTTGCTGCAACGGCCCAGGGTTTGAATCCAACCTGTGGCCCTTTGCTTCGTGTCATCCCCTCTCTCTCTGCCCCCCTTTCCTGTCTATCTTCAGCTGTCACTATCATATAAAGGCAATACAAGCCCCAAAAAATACTTGTTTTTTAAAAAGCAATAAATCAGAATTGAACACTAAGGCTTGCAGAACATAGCCTAAGAGTTTATATATTTGTCATACTGTGCAAAATTACTGTGTGTAGTCAATATTGCTGAATAGCTAGTTTAATGATAATCATTGCAACACCCTATCTATTTTTTTTAAATGAATAAAAGACATTTTAAAATATTTACAAACATACAGCACTCACGTAAATGCACAGGAATGAAAAAAAAAAATCATTGTTTACATGTATTGTCCACCACTGGTTTTTCACCACTTGGTGGCAGCAGCATAAAAGAATATACTGTATACTGCAGCAGCATATCAGAGTCCAAGAACACAGGCTTAGTTTTAACACATGATGTTGTTATGTTATGTCAAATTCACCTACAAAAATATTTCATGCACTTGATTTTTCACAAATTTCATTGTTATTTTATCAATTTTTCATGCACATTTTCATGTACACGATCAGCCATAACTTTATGACCACCTGGGCACCCTGGTGGTCATAAAGTTATGCAGCCCCATATGCAACAAACTGCGATGCACTGTGTGTTCTGACACCTTTCTATCAGAACCAGCATTAACTTTTTCAGCAGTTTCAGCAGCTCGTCTGATGGATCTGACCACACGGCCAGCCTTCACTCCCCACATGCATCAATGAGCCTTGGCCACCCATGACCCTGTCTCCGGTTCACCACTTTTCCTTCCTTGGTCCACTTTTGATAGGTACTGACCACTGCAGACCGGGAACACCCCACAAGAGCTGCAGTTTTGGGGATGCTCTGACCCAGTCGTCTAGCCATCACAATTTGGCCCCTGTCAAAGTCACGCAAATCCTCACGCTGCCCATTTTTCCTGCTTCTAACACATCAACCTGATGTTCACTTGCTGCCTGATATATCCCACCCACTTACAGGTGCCATGATAACCAGATAATCAGTGTTATTCACTTCACCCTTCAACGTGGTCATAATGTTATAGCTGATCGGTGTGAGAAACATTATGAACAATAGTTTAGGTTTGTTTTTAATAAAAGGGTAGTTCGTTAATCTTTAAAAATGTCTTTCAGATTGTCCATGTTAACATACTTTTTTATATCATGTGTCTGTATTTAAACTATGCATTTATTTTACTTTTGCAGCCATTATGTTTTATTTCTTTAAGGTGTATCATGAGGTTCCAACCTGTAGTCCAAAGATAAATTATCTTACAACTTTAACTGACTGCTTTTACCAGTTATCTCAGCCCATGATGATTCCTGCAGAAGTAGTATGTCATATCTTTTAGGATTTTATATTATTTATGACTCTGTGTATTCACTCTGCTAGCACTCTCTGAGGTTTATGAAATGAAAAGGCTGTTAACCTACAGTATACTCCACATGGAGAGATTAAAGGAGTGACCTAGTTTTAGAGTGGACCTGAACTAAAAGCGAACCTCTGCCCTTGGCAAACCACACTAGAGATTATTAATAATAATCCAAAATGGTAAAGCTGAATTGGGTATCTTGACAACAGGTGCTCTAACAGACAGAGTGATCCTGTGGTGACACAAGTGCTGTGGGCTACAAATTATTCAAAGTTTCCCTTTCTATTTTTGACCTAGTAAATCAAAAGTGAGCACAGGAAGAAAAAAAGATTTACCAAGGAAGTATTTTGTTCTGATGGCTCCTAAAATAAATATTTGGAATGAAAAATTTTACCAATACTCTATACTCTGCAAACAGCTGGAGAATACATTGTTGTGAAATGGAAATATAAGACTGATACAATGATACTTTTGATATGGGTGTATTTTTGGTATACTTGGGATTCTTGTAATCCAAAATGTTCTTGATGTCTTAGTGATAAACTGTTATTTGGTAGTCTACATGTTCATTTGACATGGACCCTCACGTTTCAGAGACATGTACAGGACTGGAGCCAAACTAATTTTGCAGCTTTCTCTGTCAACATCGCTTTTTGATGAGTGGCCAAAAAACGTGCTATAAACTTCAACGACATAATTTAATCATACACAGTAAACCCAACGGTTGCTGAAGAAAACATTTTCTCATATAACAATTACACATCATTTGAAGATAAAATATATTTTAAGGCTTTAACTATTTGTTTGTTTTTTGTTTAGTTTAATCACATTTATGTGATATGTGATATATGTTTATTTTTATTTGTATAATGTACAATCCCATATTTATTGAAGACTTTTTATTATTAGCCATCTCAATAAGTATCTGATAATTGGTTTGACGGAGGTAGACACTGAAATAAAAAAGAAGATAAGGACTAAGCAAACTTAAAAAGAAAAGATAATGAAATACTGAGATTAAAAAATAAAAGAAGTGAAGGAATACAACTGATGCTGCAGATCTAAAGCACAATGTGTCACTAAAAGCTATGGTAGACAGACATGTTTTTCATTGATTTGAAAGTAGTCCATGGTTAATCTAGTATGAGATTTTCTTGAAGTGTGTTCTATATATTTACAGCAGCTAAAAGCAGGTTAACCATGTTCAGATTTAATTCTAGAAAAAAAAGAAGACAGGTGTCGGTTGACCTGAGAGGTTGAGCTGGTTGATATTGTTGCAAAACAATGTCTTTTTTCCTCCCAAAGAAAGATGACCTGTTCTCCTTATTTATGATTGTCTCATGATGTAGCAAAGAGAAAACATATTAGTATCTACTATGTTTCATCCTCTGCCTCTTGATTCCTTGAATTTTGTTTGTTTTCATGTGGATGCTAAAGCCTTTAAGGGTGATATCCTTTTAAAGCAGGACCAGGACTGAAGCGGCCAATCTGGTCAAGGCACAGCATGATTTGAGACATTGTACAGTCATGTCTCGGGCTGATTTATAGTGATACAAACATACACTGAGCCTATTTTGACAGCAGGTTTGGCCTTGTCTATTGATGACAGTAATCCAAATCAAATGATGCACATGCAGCAGCAAGCTGAAATGATAAGCATCTTCCTGAAATTTCCCTGTGGGCAGCCTAATGGCTCTGTCCCGAACAAGAACAAAGAGGTCAGCATGTGCCACTGTGATTGAAGGCACGGGATTAGAAACTAAGAAGATGACTACAGATGAGCAGTGAGCTTTTATCCGTATGATTTTTTTATACAGTGATCATTGCGTAGACACTTGCGTGTATAAGCTTCAGTGACAGGTTTTTATTATAGAATGCATGCACTGACACACATCTGAAGGTTTAAACATTTAAAACAAAGGTTCGCTATGGCAGCTGATGACAGATCATTTGTTTTTGAACTCACGCTATGTTGCAACATGCCCCCTAGTCGACTCTATGGTTGCTTCTAGCAACATTATGTGTGCTAATTGTGCTTTACATTTATGTCTGATGGAGACTGTGTGACCACAGACAGGCTCTGTGCATTACAAGATGAGGAGAGATTAGAGCACAGTGGGTTAATCTTTAGGCCTGCCATCTGCCAGGACCATGAGAATTAAAGGTGGAGCCACGGCCTTGACCACCAACATACAAAAGTAACCTGTCAGGTGATCTTTTCCAGTGAGTATGTGACCATTGTGTTAAAGTTATGCTTCAAAGTGCACAAAAATTATTGATGTGCCTATGAATACTTGCCTTCTCGACAAAGGTTTCACTGTACATGCAGGGAATTCCTCTGCTGCGAGAGGTCACTGAACTTAAATCATACACTGGTGTTCCTAAAACAGAGATAGTGTGTCTGTCTGTCTGTCTGTGTGTCTGTCTGTCTGTCTGTCTGTCTGTCCGTGTGTGTGTGTGTGTGTGTGTGTGTGCGCGCCAACTTACAGTTTTCTGAAAGCAAAGTTCATGCACCAAGCAGCCACTGAGCTCATGCAATATACTGTACACTCTACTAGAACCACTCAGATTATAAAGTAGATTTAATTTCAGTATGAGAATGGACTGTAAAAGGTTTACTCACGTGTGTAAATCCCCTTGCATGCAACATGTATTAATGGTGTGCATAGGCATATAATTGTTTTGTTTGTGTACATGAAATATTATTATTTCAACAGGAATGGCAAAATATTCCAGCTATAATGATTTTTTACAGCATCTGTGTCCTGTGTAGTAGTAGATATTTAAAATACTGTAGGCAGTAACACATTATTTTGGATGTAATAAGTGTATGTTTAAGAGGCAAAGAAAGAGGATAACTGGCTCATTTGAGACACTTTAAATGTATTCACCAACTTTTTGTGTGGAGTAATGCAAAGCATTTTTAAAATGTAACTTATAAATAAAAGACATAGAGTAATCTATCGATTGGTTGGTGTTTGTAGAAAGATAGAGACCCACTGGGTTAATATTATATAACATTTGTTTACAAGAGTTTAACTGTGGGTGGTAAATAAGATTATCAGACAAGATTAGCCAGCCTCAGTGCCCAAAATATCATTCAAAAACTCCCAGAAAGACATTAAGTTAATCAATGGGGTTTTTAATTAAAGATACACTGCACATAGTTGACACAAGAAATATACAACCCAACAAAAAACATTGAATGTAAAATAAAACTCTGAGTCATCGTGCCTTGTTTGTCATTATCATTTATTTAGAATTCATGTCATCAGTCCACAGATTCCTTTTATGATTTGTACCATAACATCCAAACAGGAGCTATAATCTCATCAGATCATTCACTGCTGTCATCTACATCATCCTCTGTTTTATGATTATCCTATTAATTGAGTAAATAGTGGAGTTTCTTTTTCTTCCAACAGATGGTTGTTGAGTGCATAGCAGATGGCACTGTATACAATATGGGTAAAACACTGACCAATATCATGGTATAGATTCTGCATTATTCTAATCCCACATCAGAACGTAATGTAACGCACTTTCTATTAGTTACAATTCGATATAGACTGTGCAGCTGTTAACACATAACATAATCCAAATGTTAACACAAGCAAAATATTAAACAGTTAAATTACAGTTTTACATGTATTATACATTTATCATTTATTATTATTTAAGTTTAAATCCTGATAGATGTAAGGTTTTTAAGTATTCATTGCAAAGAAAAGACTGTAGAACAGTATTGGAACTGAAAAGTATAATTTGACATTTTTAAAGATATTTTTACAGTTTAGCTTTCATACCTTTAGACAATAGCATCTCTTCTGGCAGCAGCATCTACAAAGCTAATGCAGTGGATAAGGACACAGGCTCAGGTGGCTCAGTAACCTACTACCTCCAGGTATCACTTGGCAGTGGAACAATACTGCCCACTCACATTTCATCCACTCTAACTTCTGCAATAAATGAATATAGTATATAAATAAAAAAATATACACAGACAAAACATTTAAAAATGCTCTGAAGCTGACCCTTTCATGTTAATCTGCATCTGATGGAATTAATGTATAATGTTCTGATAACGAGGTTAACATCAGTAAGATTTTCCAGTGCTCCGATGTGTATTTGTGCATGTGCATGAATATGCTTGTGTGGTTATGAGAATGGGGATTAAATCACAATTACATTTGTGTCAGGTATTGGAGGCTTAGAGGGCTGCTTTGGCAGGGGCTGGCAGGGAATGTTAGCATCTCTTCTGTCTATTTAGACATGATCAGAAAATTGCATATTTATTTATTAGTTGTGTAATAGCTAAATGAAAGCTGTTAATAAAAAACAACAATGTATACCTGTCCATCATCTGCAAAGCTGTGGTATATCCTTGTTTTGTTTGCCCTGCAGACAGAGCAATCTCCTGTGAATTGGTGGTTGAAGAAGCACAGTTGGACTGAAGGGCCCTCAACTCTTAAGACGTGTCATTGGATTAGCATGTGAGCATCTGCCTTTAGCCTTCTCCAGTCGCCCACAAACACCCTCAGAGCTGCATCTCATGTACAAGACTTTTGACGGAGCCGTCTTCATGGTGCGATTTCATGACTTGATTTTTTAGGATGAAGAATGTAAAGATATTACATTTGCCACTGGTTTTTGTGTTTGTGCAGGCCTGCTTTGGTAAGTTTCACCTCTTAATTCTCTGCTTACAGTGCTTAAGTGTTCCTGTGGTCAGATGGTGAACGCTGTTCAGATACATTTGCGAGCTTCTGGGTTGATGACTATAAATGTTTCTAAGTTTATAACTGTTTTCAATTCATTAATATTCTGTCCTAACCTGGTTATTTGCTATTAGAGATGTACATGAGTTTATACTTGGTATGACTATCATACTGACTGATTTACTTGAAATATGAATTTAGTTTTGGTATTTAAAAACAGAGTATTCCAATGACAAATAAAAACAGCATTATGTCTGCGACCAGAAATCTCAGGTCTATGTATAGCAAAGGTATCTTAGCGAGTTGACGTAACTCACCAGTAATCCCAGTCAAAGTGACCGAGAAAGCAGGGGGCGTAAGTGTAGTAAATGCTTAAACATAGTGTAACAGTAGCGGAAGAAGAGCAGAAACTGATTCAATAAGTGAGCTAACATTAGCAAACATTAGCCACCATAAGCTACTGGTCAGACCAGACCACAACGAGGGCTGTTGCAGCAAAACCATTGAGTATACTGAATTGATTAAGGGTGCGTTATTTCTTCTTTCCAAAGTTACACAGGTTCACTTTAAGCTGAATAACATCAAACTTTCAAGCATTTAATGATGTTTTTTATACCTCTGTCCTCAGCGCAAGCAGACTTTGCCCCCTATTTCTACGACAATGGACCCTACAGCCAAAATGGGAACCTGGCACTGTTCAGCCTTTCAGAGGACACGGCTGTCGGTGAGCTCAACCTCTGACATACAGGACATTTAGTGTGGACAGCTAATAGGCTGGTGGAGCAACCAATCAACAAAATGGCATGTTTTGTCCAGGATGTTAAATAGTCTTTGATAGATGAACAGATGTTGTGTGGCATGTGAGTACTCCCACTAACATGCTCATCTGGTGGTGCCACCTGTTGATGTGAGGGACAGTTTTCTGGCTGTGAATGTGGTGCAGCTGTCCCTCCACACCTTCCATCAGTCAGGGTACTTATAAGTCTACTGTGTCTCAGTCGGTTATGTTCCACAGCAGTTTTTCCCCAAACAATGGGTGAACTGCCCTCCTTGATTACTTATTAGAAGCTGCTTCATCTTGTATTTGGAACCAGTTTTATAAAGTGTTCTTCTAACCTTTAATTCCTAATTTGGAAAAGGATTGTATATAAAAATGTTTTGTCTAAAATGTAGGTTTCCACTTTTACAAATATGTCTAACCAGCCAACTGCTGAGGCTGTTTTAACTAAATTATGATGTTTTCTTTTAGGTACACAGATCTATAGTCTCAATGGCACAGACCCTGAAGGCCAGGAGGTGAGGTATGGCCTTTCCTTTGATCCAGGATCCCGGGAATACTTCAGGGTCGACCCCATATCCGGAAACATCACATTGGTGGAAAAGTTGGACAGAGAGGTAAACTTAACATCACATAGGCCTCAGAAGGACATTAGGGTAGAGGAATGGTCAATTTAGCTTTAAACTAACAATTACAGAACTGAGTTGATTTTTTTCACCGTGTATTTCTTCATATTAACTCGTTTTGCATCTTTGCTCAGAAACAAGATTCTATTGACATTCTTGTCAGCATCACAGATGGGCAAAGCAAGGTATCAACATCCAGTCCAGTGTTTGATTATACAATTTTATTCCTTATAATGAATCATGAATGTGTCAAACACTTCTTCTTCTTCTTCTACTTCTTCTTCTTAGGTTGTGGAAAGAGTCACAATATTTGTAATGGATGCAAATGATGAAAAACCTGAATTCCAAAACATGCCGGCAATCATTGATGTACTGGAAGTAAGTTAAGCCATAAGCGTATGCTTTATGAACCATAAAATCTTGAAAATTGAAATCAATATCTAAGTGTCAATATCTCCACATAAACTGAAAAAGGACAGCATATTACTGTAAAAATATTTAAGTTAGTATGTGTTGTATCATTTATTTTTGAGCTCTATATGTTGTGACCTGAATATTTTTCTGTGTTGCTCATTTTAGACTACTATGTCTGGCAGCAGCATCTACAAAGCTAATGCAGTGGATAAGGACACAGGCTCAGGTGGCTCAGTAACCTACTACCTCCAGGTATCACTTGGCAGTGGAACAATACTGCCCACTCACATTTCATCCACTCTAACTTCTGCAATAAATGAATACAGTATATAAATAAAAAAATATACACAGACAAAACATTTAAAAATGCTCTGAAGCTGACCCTTTCATGTTAATCTGCATCTGATGGAATTAATGTATAATGTTCTGATAACGAGGTTAACATCAGTTAGATTTTCCAGTGCTCCGATGTGTATTTGTGCATGTGCATGAATATGCTTGTGTGGTTATGAGAATGGGGATTAAATCACAATTACATTTGTGTCAGGTATTGGAGGCTTAGAGGGCTGCTTTGGCAGGGGCTGGCAGGGAATGTTAGTTTGCACTTTGGACTATTAGGACCAAAGAACAGCTGGCCTGGAGTGACGAGTGAGGCAGTGCACATCTGGACACACCAGCTTTCACCTGCCTGCCCTGTCCTTGAGCATATTGGCTCTTTACATCCAGATGGACAAAGAGATATACTTCAAAAAGATGTGGCCTAATTCAAGTGGCTACTGAGTGTTTTCATGCAGCCAGCTGACCACTTTTCATGATATGTCACGTGAGTGGTTGTAAATGGGTTTTCAGTGACAGGCTTTGATTCATGTGACCTAAAATGTGTCTCTGAGTGTGCTTTTAAAATCCTGCTTTTGTCCTGTCCTCTGTTACAGAATCCTCAGTCCACTTTATTTGCCATTGACAGACATAGTGGTGTCCTTCGTATCAAATCTGGGGAAATGTTGGACTATGAGAAAACAAAGACACTCTTTATCACTGTCATTGCAAAGGTAATGGGTGTATCAAAACTCATGTTTCTGTCATCCAATAATTTACTTTCATTTTCAGTTTAAAGGTACCTTGTAAAGTTGTTTGTGCAACATAAATTTGTTTGTTTACAAGAAAACTCCACAGGGCGCCTAAAATAAACACTGTAGGGGAGAGTGGGGTAAGATGAGCCATTTTTCATATTTAGGATCACTACATCAAGGCAATCATAGTTTTGTCGCTAACTAATATATCTGCATATATTTCAGGATGTTGTGCATCATTCAAATAAACAGAATGAGTGTAAACATAACTGTTTTGATAGTATAGCTTGTCCAAAAAAAAATACACGGGATATAGGAGCGGGGTAAGTTGAGCCATATCCCTACTCCCCCTCCCCCCCCTCCCCCCTCACCTTCTCCCTCCCTAAATAACACTCACTTCTTCACATTCATGTGTATTTTATTTATTTGTAACAGGTACAATAACTTTTTTTATTATTATTGCATATTACTGCTAAACAGCTGTTTTGTGAAAAAAACTTTTTAACATGAGAATGCCTTAAAGTGCGCTTAGGAAGAAAACATTAACAGCTGTGTTTTTGGAATATACACAGAATATGTTTTTGGATACACTTATTGAGTGTATTTTGGCTGTAGCCACCGGCTCAACTTACCCCAGAGCTACCATTTTGACTTTATTAGTCCCCACTGCTAAAATGGTGCACTTTTATGCTAGGTTTATGACCTCATGTTGTAGCTCATAGATACCACATTTGATGTATAAAACAAATTTAAAATGATCTATTTTGGTCTAAACACAATTCTCATGAAACTTATGATAGACTAAATTCACTTTCAAGAGTGAAAAATGATTTTTTTGGAAATAAATATCTAACTTTACCCATGTGGTTCTTACATTCACAGACTCCATGAAATGATGCCTTCCTCCTAAATATTTGGTCTCATGATCAATGTTTTTTACCATTTTCTAGCAACAAGGGGTGGCTTAACTTACCCTTTGGCTCAGCTTACCCCACTCTCCCCTGTATGAAAAAGATCCCTCCTTTAAAATGTGAGCCAAACTTAAAGAGAAAAACTGTCTTTTTAAAATGTGGATGTAATTGTGTATTACTTTTGTTGCAGGATGGTGGTGGTAATTTTAATGGCAAGGAGCAGTTTATGTCATCCTCTGCTACCCTGACAATCAATGTGATCGATGCACAGGACACTCCGCCATCTTTTATTGGGACACCATATTTTGCCTATGTTTATGAAGTCTCAGTGCCAGTGAGTATGAAAATATACTTCAGTAACATTCTGCTTCGACTATAACAATAAATTTACACTGCTGTCTTACGTTAATGAACATCATATGGTAACCTACAAGTAAATGCAGTTTATTTTCTATGCTCACAGTATAAGTAATAACCATGAAAAGACAAGATAGCAGTATCTCTTATGACACAGCTTTGATTTCTGGCATTTTACAGGAATGCCCACGCTGCCTTCTCACAGCGGGAAAGCCACATTATCTATGAGTCGCAGAATGTCACTGTAGTAGCGCATCAGAGGAGAGAGATTACACATTCTCACTTTCATCCAAAAGGGAATAATTAGGACAATGACATTTTAATGCACCTTTGAAGACTTGGTGGAGATAGATGTTTGTGGTATTTGACTGCAGGGAGACTTAATTAAGATTCCTGCTTCATTTTGTAAAATCTTAACATATCATCAGTTTTTTTAACAATGTGATGCAACCAAATACTGTGTTACATCATGTGAGAAGTGGCATTTTAGAGTTGTTTATTGGCAGAACAAATAAGGTCTTTTAACCCTAACCTTCTATTTAAAAGTATCAGTAACTGGAGAAATATGAATAACTTGGGGTAATAACAGGTAATATATCACTTATACAACCAATTATCAATCTTGTTGCACTATTAAATCCCTTTTCTTTTCTTTTCTTTTCTTTTCTTGCCTGACAGGGATCTGAAATATTCACTGTTGTAGCAAAAGATGGTGATGTGGGAAACCCAAATCCAATCCATTATTCATTTGACGATGGTAAGCATTTTGCACAAAGAAGATTAGAATGATTTTAAAATAAAGCTGAAATGCTCATAGGTCTGTCTGTTGCTTTTCTTTGCAGGCGACGATGGTGTTTTTCACATCAATAAAACAAGCGGTTGTATCACCCTGCTGAGTCAGCCCATGTATCTGAAGAGAGAAATCTTTAACATTAAAGTCAGGGTAAGTTGCAATGGATTAATTAATTCTGTTTACTGTAAAAAAAAAAAAAAAAGGGGGCCAGACTTACATGCTCTTCAGCATCACTGTCACAAGTCACACCACGTTTCCAACCAAAGCCTGAATTTTGCCTGTATGAAAGAATGTACAGCTTTAAACATTTTTATAGCCTTTAATCATTGTATATTCATAAAGGGAATTACAATGGATCAAACAATCATGTAAAGCAAAATACATTTTACATTAAATAACCTACTATATACTGCCTGAACATTTTTAACTGGTTAAAATTCAAAAAGTAAAACTGATCTGGTGAAACTTGGATAAAATTTCCTTCAGGGTCATCTACTGTTCACAGAAGTGATAAATGTGGGCTAATATATTTTCCCACCTGTGTCCAGGCATCAGAAGTAAGTCCAGAAGGCAGACTCATGGACTATGGGGTGACCACAGTGGTGATCCGTGTGGTGGACCTGAACAATAATCCACCTACTTTCTACGGAGAGAACGGCCCACAAAACATGTTTGAGTTGACCATGTATGAGCATCCACCTGAGGGAGAGATACTCCGGGGTCTAAAAATCACTGTCAATGACTCTGATCAGGTGGGGAGACCTTTATTTTCTTCCATATTTTCTCATGAACTGACTGTGATTAGCATGAAAACAATCCAGTAGCTATTTTCAGTGATGTTTTACAGAGTATTATTGCCATTGAAAGCTGCCTCAGTTAACCAGAAGAGAGGAACAGTGATTGTTATTATGTAATAACACTCATTTTTAGACCAAATTACATTGTTATCTAACAATTCATGTGCCACAACATTGTGTTCAGGCTGGTGTCTGCCTTTCTGTCTACGAAATGAATTTAAGCCTGCTATTATCACAGACAATCCTTTTAAAATTACAACACAAATTAAAAGCTACTCCCTAACTATGGCATTTGTCAGCTTATGCAAGTCTCTGTGTGTTTCCAGCTCCTTGTATGAGCCTCGTCCAAATGGCTGTCCAAATGTATTCTCTGATAATACTATTACAACATCAGGACGAGCTCTCTTTGTCCAGAGATATGATGTTTCACCAAGAATATTACAGCTGCCAGTGATATCCTATTGATTTCTCATACATTACTGTAATAATGAAAGACACAAAGCTTTTATATTGATTGAATGGACTATATACTACATGGATTATATTGTATGTCTGTAACAAATGCAGATTACTATAAATAGGTCCACGCATGTATAACATAACAACTGTCATTTTCATTAATGAGACATTCTGAATCTGTAATATGATGATGAGGTTTTGCTCTTCCAGGGTGCAAATGCTAAATTTAATCTGAGACTGATCGGACCAGGGAGGATGCTGCGAGTCGTCCCTCAGACTGTTCTCAATGAAGCCCAAGTCACAATCTTAGTAGAAGACTCTGCTGCCATGGACTATGAGAAACACAATTTTCTCACATACAAGGTTACCACAGTAGATTGAAATGTGACTGAATAGCACACGTATTTCTCAAGAAATAGTACCTGAATCTATTGCACATTGCTTTATTTCATTGATTTGTTTCAAATCTTTCCCCTCTTTAGCTACTCGCAGTTGAGATTGATACGCCTGAGAGATTCAGTTCCACGGCAGACATTGTCATTCACCTCCTGGACACCAACGACAATGCTCCCAGATTCTCCTCCGATTACTACATTGCCAGAATTCCAGAAAACTCACCCGGTGGCTCCAATGTGGTGTCAGTCACGGTGAGTGAGCCTTCATCCTGTCTAAAAATACATGCCATCACCAATGTACGTCCCTCTGAGCTAAAGAGGAATGCTGATTTGAACAAAATGGCCAAGAGGGCCATTAATTCCCTAAATGTAGACTTTTTGGGCGATGGGGGTTGGGATAATATGTGAAAACATGTAGATAAAAGCTAGGCGAGGTAAGCTGCCAGATGGCTATCACTTTCATTTTGTTGTGTAACACCAAATTCCCAGATTTCTTTCCCCTAATGCTTAGTAGCACATGCAGCTGCAGCACAAAAATATGTGCAGACATAACATGAACACTTTTAAGGACATATAGATAGATAGATAGATAGATAGATAGATAGATAGATAGATAGATAGATAGATAGATAGATAGATAGATAGATAGATAGATAGATAGATAGATAGATAGATAGATAGATAGATAGATAGATCTTTTTTGGATTATCTCATCCTTCGCCCTTGTCGGTTCATATCAACGCCCTGCAGAGGCTCAGAGCAACAGGGAGGCTCACTAATAAATCCTACCCTTGCGTGAACACCACAGAGGCTCATTTCCTTGATCCCAGGCAATTTCAATCAGATAAAAGAACAGCCGACAAGTGACCTTGGACACATGGAGACAACGAACAGGCATCCCTGCAGCGACAGACAGATTAGCTGATGCCCATGATGATGATGTTCCTATGACATCAAAAGTCCGTCTTTTTATAGCTGACCCCTGTAACATCATGCTTCAATCCAGCACAGATTCATTCAGTTTACTGAGTCCATGGTGGCGTAGAGTTTTTCTCTTTTTCTCCTTCACTTGAAAGAGTTACAAACAAATCTAACCAATATTTTGAAGTTTATCTGAGGTAGAAGGTAAAGGTAGGACACACAATGTTCACTAGTCTGACCTGAATGTTGCACTAAACGTCTAAAGAGGAACTGCAGATTACCCTGACTATGATAGTTATCTTGAACTGGCCATGAAACCAAACTCACAACATATTTCTTTCTCCTTTCTGTTTGTTTACAGGCAACAGACCCAGACTCAGGGCCTTGGGGGGAAGTGAAGTACTCTATCTACGGATCAGGGGCTGACTTGTGAGTACAAGAATATAACATAAGATGAGTTTTGTCAAGGGGAGAGAGTGAATCAGGAGGTGGCTCAGCCCCAGCATAAAATTCCTCTCATCCTTTATAGTTGTACACCTCCACACATTCAGTGACTGACATTATCACTACTTGAACAACATTATCTTATTATCTTATCTAAAATCTAAATGTCCAGGGGTAAGATTCTTTTATTATGCACAAGAAGAAGAAATTACAGATACTAATCAAACCATGCTGTGTCAACCAAGTGTCAGGCCACTCCTTCACTGGTCCTTGTGTAGTTCCAGCAAATGAGAATTAAAACATGAAAAATGCTTACACAACATTATTAGCAGTTTACTCCCTGAGTCAGCAGTATAAATTCAGACCACACCTTTCATAAAAAACATTGAAAGCACACTCAAGGAAACTGTTTAATTAAATGACAGGAATTGGATCTGAATGTGGTATTTTATTTGTAAACTGGTGTACAATATGAAAACCACCTACAGGAAAAGCAAATCTGCCTGAAAGCTGTACAAAAATATGACAGCAGACTTGTTTTTCATATTAGAACTTGGTACTGTGTATTGCACCTAAGCACTGTAGTCCCTCAGAGGATTTGATGGTATTTTCTCTGAAGTCGATTTTTATTAGATTTCCAGGAGAGGTCTAACCTCTGAGAAGAAGGCTCAGTGGTTACTGTTTTCGCTTAGTCATAATATACCAACAGCTTGTCGTTCATGGGTCATTTCATAAGTTCATAAGATCACCTGGATGTTTTACAAAGTTAGTGCCACATCTCAACACTGTGACAATCAATACTGCAACTGTTGAGAAATAGTTATTTTAATCATGTTTCTATCTGCATGCCTTAGAGGACCAGACAAGTTGGATTTGGAAATACTGAGAACAGTAAATCAAAGTAAACATGAACCTATAACGTGTAGTGCCAATGTAAACAGACAGATGTATGTCAGTAAGGATATGTTGAATCTGAATCTGGACCTCTCAGTACAGATTCTGAGCTCTGTAGCGATTAATTCGATAAGATATGTGATGTTACACGACAATCCAGGATTTCCAAATAAGCAGAGGAGAGAGATTTGGAACACGTTTATCTTAACTTGTTTGGTCAAAAACCATTTGGAAACTGTGTCACCTCAGATTAGTCCAAAATGCCTCTTTGAACTTGTTATAAAGCGATACATTTCTCGGTTCTGCATTTACAAAAATCTAGGATCATGTATTCCTGATCTGTGCCTGTCTCTTAATCCTATAATGGGATTGGAGGAGAAAATAGACTGCTCTTTGCTTCTGACTACCTAGCACCGTCACAAAGTCACTGTAGGGTAACTAAACAGTAAGTCAGTGAAACAATCTATTTCTGATCTCGGTCTATATGTATACAGTCCAACCTTGCATGACTAAAGTTAATTGGAATAGGACAGTAAAGTAATACTTTAATAGTTCAACATTATGGGAATACACAGGAATTAACACTATGGGAATTTGTTTTCTTTTTAAGAGTTAGGAGGTGATTAGCATTGTGTAACATTGTTTGTTCACAGAAATCTTAAAATGAAGATTTGTGGTTTTAAGAGTGACTATAAATATCTGAGGAACAACAGTTTACTATTGCCATACTTTGCTTCGTCTTCATCTTATGCTCGGAAAAAATGCAAATAAACATATTTGCAAAAAGGTTTGAGAACATTGCATAGCATACACATCTGGTTTGAAAAGTTCCAGTAATTTTTTTTTTACTTTTCAAACCCTGTAATAAAGTTTTCAAAAAATGCCTTCCAACAGTAATATAATATATTTGTACATATTGTATATCTACCATTTGTTCAGCTTGAAAAGGCTAACTTCCTACACCTAACTGTCAGTCTAAACGCTTTGACCTGTTGGATAGGTTAGGGTTATCAGTAGCCAAAATAATAATAAATCTAAAGCCCCAAACCCCCGCAATGATTGAGAAAATATAGATGTGAGTGTGACATGCTACCCATCTCTCTACAAAAGTGGTCTTGAGCAAAATGCTCACATCAGAAAATAGACAGTGTACATTCTTAGTAAGACTATCCTAAGAAGACAATAAATGTTTACACACAATAATCCTAAATCTAAATCACCATTTACAGGTTCCTGATCCAGTCTGCATCTGGGATCATCTACACCCAGCCGTGGGCGAGCCTGGATGCGGAGGTGAGGTCCAAGTATAACTTCTATGTGAAGGCAGAGGATGCAGAGGGAAAGTACAGTCTAGCTGAGGTCTTTGTGACTGTGCTGGACCTGAATGATCACCCACCTGCATTCAATGACAACTTCCTCGAGACAACTATGGTGATTGGAGCACCAGTGAAAATAGAGGTATTTTCTCTATCATGATTTACCATGTTGGATAAAATGAAACTCAACCATAACATCAGTACCAGTATTTTTTTATTAAATACATCACCTTCTACACAGGCTGTAGATGATGATGCAGAAATACCCAACAATGTTATCGAGTACGCCATCATGAAAGCGGAGCCAGACAACAACATCTTTGACATTAACGCTGACACAGGGGAGATCATGCTCAAGTCCTACATCAAGTCAATGGCCATCATTCAGAACATCACCAAGCAGAGAGACTGCACCTGGTCGCTGGTGGTGCAGGCCCGGGACCGAGGCCAGCCATCCTTCAGCACCACTGCAGTCGTCAAGATCGACATCACTGAAGCTGTAAGTTGATGAATGAATGATTAATTCGACAGATTTTTTCTAATATACTTTAAATACATGAAAAAAAGAGTGTGCAAAGTTGCAACCATTAGTTTCTCAGGGTTTAATTGTGATACAAATGCCATCATCATTTAATATCTTATACTGCTTGGATTTAGTTATAGGCTACCTACAAGTTATGCGTATTATATAGACTTTTTTTTACAATTCTGCTTTTTTATCAAACAAAGTCTGGTGTAAAATTATTGAAACATTTGATGCACTCAAGAGGGTAGTGATTTAAAAAGAATTTAATATCCCATGGCTATTTAGTCATATTAACTAAAAACATCCCTGTGTGTGTTTCAGCCATTCAGGCCTTCAGTGCAAATACAAAATGGTTGCCTTTAGGCTGTTTCTGCTGGGGCCACAACTGCCTGCGCAGGCTTTAGTGGTCTACACTAATCATGTGACTACTTACATGTCCATACTTATCATGTCTTCCCATGATGAAGGGCTGAATGGGTTAAACTGTTACATGACGAAATAGCCATGAGATATTAAAGGCTTTTTAAAACACTACCCTCTTGAGTGCCTCAGATTTCTTCAGTTTTGTGACCAAGCCTGGAGTAACTTCTTTGCACCACCTAATTTCAATTCAACAGTTATCAGACAATAAATTGAAATTTACATTTTACACTTACAGTATAGGTCTCAGACACATCAGGACAACAAACTGCAAAAACAGATTCACTGCACTGCAGAACATAAAGATTTCCTTTTTTCTGCTCACTATATAGTGATTGCTCATTCCCTCCATATTCCCAGTAAGTAATTATCAATGATTTGCAATGCAATCTAATGTTTTATTGAGAGGGGAGCTGCATTTTTAGTTAAAATAGTCTGTACATCTGCAAGCATTCCCTACTATGAGTTTACATCTAGATTAAATGTTCATCCGATCAATTTCTGTGTGGAATTGCAGATATTCTACAAATAAAGCCAGTTTTTGCTTTGCAATTGAACATTTGTAGTCATAAAAAATGTAATTCAAATGCAATTGTCATGTTTTCAGATCAAATCCAGATTTTTCTCGTACTTCTTGGGCCTAAGGAAACGTCCAGGGACTGTGTTTGGAATTTGTTTGACCTTTGTCACCTTTGCGATTTCACTGACAATCTTCATTTCAACTCTTATATACTGGAAATCTGTGAAAAAGTCCCGAATACAATCTCAGGGCAAGATCAGAAAGATAACAAGGAGGCCTCTGCAATAAATAAAGCTTGCCTTAAGATCATCAGCACAGAAGAACCATTGTGTTTAATTTGTGGTACCAAGAATTTGCAGCAATACATTTAAAAAGGATTTTTGTGGTAGAACAAGTCTGTAAAAGAGTACAGGAGCACAATATAAACTGTCCTCTCAACATGGTCCCATGGTTTTTTTCCCCATGTTTTGATTTACTACTCACATTATGACACCACAACCAAAATAAACAAATTAGTTCGGGTTTTTCCTTTTCACATGAATTTATATATTCATTCTCAGATGCTGGATGGTCTCAGCTAGTTTCCCAGTCAACCTCTCTGATCTTGTCTTGACAAAATATAAAACAGTAGGACAATGAATTAACAATTAACTATTATCTAATATTATAATAATAGAGTTTTGAATTTTGCACCTCACATCATATTTTTAGCCAAAGGATGAATACATGCAGTACACACACGGGACAATATTTAGAAGTTAATCTTTGTGTGACAGACTATGACTTCAGTCCCATGGATGTGAACTCTCCCTGTGCTCTTTTACAGACCCAACTCAGTGGGGGGCCTTTGGGATCATTTTTGATGCAGAGTAGAAACAAGCCCTTGCATATCCTAGGCATGCTTGCTGGTTTCATTAGCCTCATGGTCATAGTCACAGTCATCATCTCCACTGCAACATTCATGCGCAACAAAAAGTCCAACCGGATCCTGCCTAACCGGCGTGTAAGGAGGAGGCCACGGAAACAGCAGGCCTGGGTCTTCAAAAACCCCTTCAAGAAACCAGAAACCCCCGGAGAGAAATTTAAAATAGAAGAAGTCAGAGAAGAGGAAGAGCGGGAGATTGAAGTCATTGTGGAGAATGTTAACTATAACAACAATGTCAGCAATGTTGTGAGACAATGGCCCCTGCCACCTTCTGCTCCATCTCTGCCCCCTCCACCACCAGCCTACATCCCAGGAGAGAGGCAGTGGGCAGTACCCACAGTCTCAGCAACATTGGCACCCAGACCTAAAAAGAAGGTGATAACCAGACAGGATACTGTGAACAAAGCACTGGTTTCAGAGCTCAAGATGCGACTAGAGCAGAAGAGTTTGATGAAACATTAATCGTGACAAAACAATCTTACCTCAAGATCCATTTAGTAGCTTTCGTGCAGCAGATCCGGTCTGCCCAGTTGTCATGGAAAAGGAGCCGTTCAAATTTCCATTTTTTCACAGAACTTTAACGTCTTCTCATGTTGCCATATAGACAAATGGACATTTTGAATTTTGGATTTTTGGAAGAGACTTAAAACATTGCACATCTGTTACATGAGACAGGTACATAGGAGAGGGTGCCTAGTGAATGTTCACTCCAAAAACATTGCTAATAAATGTATTAATGCAGGTTAGACAGTGTGCAGGAGTTTATTTGGAACTTTTGAAACAGCAAAAGAATGTATTTTGAACATTCACATATCAGACAAGTGAGCAGACTTGATTTGAAGATGATGAAGATCATGTTATATGATCAAAAGCTCCAGAATACCACTACCAGAACGCCACTAAATGGAACTTGAGGCGAGGGTGTTTTCTGATGTTTCTGAGGTCAAGAATGAACTTTGAAACTTAATCATTAACAGTGCTTTGTCTGTGTGTGTGTGTGTGTGTGTGTGTGTGTGTGTGTGTGTGTGTGCACGTGTTTGTGTGAGTGTGTGTGCGTGTGTGTGTGTGTGTGTGTGTGTGTGTGTGTGTGTGTGTTTTCAGAAAGATTAAATACACTGAAATGGGTAATAGCTTAATTCTTTGTGGATTAATAATGTAATTTTCATGTGATGGTCATGTCTTCCTGTCATGTGTATCATCATTCAGGTTTAATTCACGATTCATTGTTTCTTTCTAATTCAAGTTTCTTTTTTATATTCTTTGTATCAGTATTAAACAAATAACAAGTACACAACCAAACAAATCCCCAACCAACACACAATCAACCCTCCCCGACATCCTCTTTTGGCTCCAAAAAAGAGAAAAATCTTTAAGACAATTAGTCAAATAGATATTATACAGTACACCTTGTTCAAAGACAGTTACACCTACGGTAAATCTCATTTAAGTTTCTGTCATTTTGTCAAATAAATCCCACCTTTTGAACCATTTGTTGACACACTAGTAGCTTAAAGTTCCTCAACCCAGATCCCTTGACGGGAATGAAGTCATTCAGATTTCAACAAGCAAGACTGTTTATTTGGGATCCAACCAAGCTCCTTACAAGAGATTTCATGACACTTGAACTGACTAAAGAGATCAGCCAGAGGGTAGGGAACCAAAGTGATCACGTTAGGAAGATCTTTAATCCTACTGCGCAGGTGTAAAACACTGTTTGGAGCCCTGTTTCGCAACAGTCACGACATGTTTATGTTCTCCTTTAAAGGACTGTTTTTCATTTGTTTACTACTGTACATGCAGTGGTTTGTCTGTTTCAACTGGTGTCTTTTTTGTCAAGAAACTGTTGCTGTTGAATCACCTGTCAGGACCAATAAAAGAACACATTTGTAATTTCAATTGTGGTGGGAGGAAGTATTTAGATCAGTACCGCACTTTGAAAATACTCCCTTACAAGTACTCCATCACAAGAGTCTTGGATTCTATTTTTAGTACAGAAGTGTCATCAACAAAAATACTCATTACATGTGAAGTGGCTCCTGTCAGTGTTATATATTATCACATTATATAATTACTGATTGCATTAACAGGTTTCATCTATAACAGTGCATCTTTAATAGGATGTCAGTTTTACATGAATATGTAGTTTGATTATTGACAACCGGGAGAGAAGTTCTGCCCTTTGAAACTTATTTTAGATTTTAACTCACTCTCATCATTAATCTCATCACAACAAGCAACAACCATCCAGGATTAGAACATACTGAGTTCAGGACACTCAGACAATTAGACTGTAGCCCTGACGGCATTGTTAAACACATAGAGAGAAAGCTTTGTTTCCATTAGCTTAAGGCCAACGCCACCTTAATGAGCCTGAAAATATTCTCTACTGCCCCCTTTTGGAGAAGCTGCTTAACCATTGCCCTCAGGTGAAAGACAAAGGGAGTTAGTGTTCTCAGATCCTCAAACAAAATGAAAAGTGAAACTTTTATGTCCTTAAAGGAGATATTGTTGAATCACATTGACTGACAAAGCATGTGTTAAGCTTTTGGAAAACAAAAGCAATATGAACAAAGCAGTGTATCCAAACACTGAATAATATATAGGCCTAGTATATAAAATATAATAGTCATGTAGAACAACAGGAAAAAAAATGAGAGAATGAGATGTATGAAGACAGCCTTACACAACAATATTACATTTGCTGTTGTTTTTAGTAAAACCTCACCAGATGTTGTGCAGATATGTAATATATTATCCTGATACAAGCCCTTTTGCTCTCCTTAGCTCTAATATCAACGTGAGCGCTATCAATTATGAAGTTACACTGAACCACTCACTGGGTATTTGTGTAGACATTATGGCCAAACATGCACACTATTTCAAAGTTACATAAAACATGAAATTTGCAGATTACATCCTCTAATCCAAGGACCAATTTGTTCATCTTTGTGCAATATTGCATCCTTGGCTAAAAACCAAAAGTCCATCTGCCCTGTTCTAGTTTTGACCAACAAGATGTGTGTGACTGACATCGAACTTTCTGCAGCCTCAGCTGGCACATTTTACATGGTTATGATGATGCAGTACAGACTCTGGGGATTTTTTTTTTTGCTCATACATACAGTATGTGAATGTATGATGTGCTGCTTTTTCAGGCCAGCACAATCCCAAAGATCCTTGAGGAACCAAACCCAGATTTTAGGTCAAAATCGTCACACACATAAACACAAAAACTTTTCAGCGTAGCAAGCTGTTAATGCTCTGAAATGAAATGAGGGAATATGAGGAGCAGCCCAAATGATCATGCATTATGCCATGTAAGAGGCAGCGAGGATTACTGGGCTATTTGATAGAGGATTACAGAGTTAAAAGTTGCAAAGAGCATTGATGCTTTAGAATGAAAGAAATGCACAGGGTTCAAAAACCCTGCTAAGTGTGTGAAGCAACAGAGGTTCTAAAAGGTAAATTAAATATTTACTTTTCTGAATAATAAAAACTAATCTCTGAACACTGAAATCAGTGGAAAAAAATGTTTACAGAATTTACTTTGTTTTATGTTATACACTGTGGATAAGGATTACAACAAATAGCAGCATCAACCCCGCATCCGCAAATCATATAAAAACATCTAAATAAGCAAGAAAGCAGATGTGTCTGTGCTCCAGAGAATGAGAGCTCCCAATCTCAACCAGTCATTTAAAACCCTGATCTTAAGTCAATATAAGTGGGTCCCAGCAGAGATGAACTGATCTCCTTGCAGAAGACAACACATGGAGATGGAGGAGGGGGCTCATGTGATCTGATCATAAAGTGACGGCAGGAGGGGATATTGAAGAAAAAAGCCAGTGTTTGGGTATTATGTCAAATGAACAATGCCATTGGCCGAGGCATATCCGATGGGCCATCTGTCTAGGCTGGAAAGCACAGATCATGTGTGACGTACATGTACAGCGAGCAGCAGAGAGGATTAGACATATGTTAACAAAACTCTACCATTCACACTTCCTTCTTGAGCTGCAGTGGAAGGACAATAAAAAAAGCGGAAATGCTTTACTAAAACATTTAGCAAAATATCCACTTGATTTCAAACAGCTGCAGCATCATATAAGTTGTATAATGCTTAGAATAATGATTGATGAATGATAATAGTAACAATGATTGTGAATTTTGTCTCCTATCACACTGGAAAAACATTAGGAAGAAATATCTTAATGGCCAATATGAATAAGATACATTATTACAGCAAGCAAAACCTGTTTCAGTGTTCATATGGGCACCTGACTCTTGATTTAAGACAGACACTGAGAACCCTTACTTAATCCTTCATCATTTAATTGATGTGATGTGACTATTTTACCAATAACTAGTCAAATATTTACATAAAATACAGTTTATTAAATCAGTAATTTTAGTATGTGTTATCTGGTAACAGAACGACATAAAAGAGACAAGAAATTAAGGTTTTGTCACTCATAATGCTGCTTTAAAAGGACTATGCCAAGGACAAATGTCACATAACACAAGGTATGACCACACACACACACCCACACCCACATACAGACACACATCAATGCACAATTTAATTTAAATTAAAAGCTTGAATTGAATGATTTCATAATGTGTATATCTTATTGTACTTTTAAAGATCAATAAAAAAAAACTAAACATATAGTAGCAGACTTTATACTAGTTTAATTTCATCAAACTAAATTTAATCAAGACATTGTCTAGTGACACTGTGTACAATCACTTAACTATTTAACAGAATCACCATCTGATTTAAGGTGAAAGTGAGAGTAAAAATATGTGAACCAAAAAGGTCCACCAAAAGGATATTAGTCTGATAAATACATAAATACATAAATAAAACAATAATAAAAGTGCTAACACAGAATCACATAAAGATAAAGCAGACGATAAAGGAAGCACCCACTACTGAGAGACATTTTAAAAAGGGACTCTTCAGCAGTAATTTTGAGCACTCCTCCATTTAAATAAATCACAAAGGCTTCATTTCAAGCAGCAATTCAAAAATTGTGATAACTGACATTGAAATACATCATGATAGCAAGACAAACATGTCATATTTCAGAGAGAAACAAACTGCACAACCTCACATTCTCTACAGTGGTGAAAATCCTTGAATTACACTCTTGACATAACGGTCATCATTCACATGTTTGCAACAACCTCCTCGGCCTAGAACAGAGGAAGAGATAATATTAAAACCAAGGCAGATCATTGTCATTCTTCTAAATATTGTACTTATATGAGTATCACAGTCAGAATCTTACAGCAGATCTATTTTTATTCTATTTTTCAAAATGAGCTGATACAGGGTGCCTAGTACACGATCAGTTTCATGTTTACTCTTGTTTTAACAAATAATATATATTATATATATATATATATTTATAGTATAAATATACAGTAATTTAATATAGTTCAGCTGTCTGTCTGCTGTGGTCAGCTTTGTTCTTATGCAGTCTGTCATCTGACCTCCTCCTCACCTTCCTGTCTTCCCTGGAATTTTTATTAACCAGGTCCTCGTCGCTGGCGGCCTGCAGGCTGTCGAAGGTGCCTTGCCTCTCCCGTTCCATCCCCGACGAGCTGCTTTCTCTCCGTCGGTTCTTCCAGGACTCCATGATACCCTCCAGGCAGGCAAACTTACTGTCAGTGGTGCAGGCATACATACCTATAGGCACAGCAAGCACCATGGCTAAAACTATCACCACTATATGGATCAGCTTCTCCCTCTGTTCCATCTCAGTAACGTCACTTCCTGTTACAAACACAATGCACTGTCCAGGACGTGGCGCCTGGTTCTTAAGGGTCACACAGATTTCATATTTGGTAGCAGGCATCAGGTCAGAGACGGAGTAAGAGTGAATCCCAGGGCCGATGTAGATCATTTCTTTCTTATCGGAATCTGCCCGGCCAAAGTGGATGGTGAACCAGGTTTCAGATGGGCGGTCCAAGGTGGCGTACCACTCAATAGAGATGCCGCGTACTGTCTGTTTGGCGATGCGGATGTCAATGTAGACATTTTCATTAACAGGAACAGGTGGAGCCGGGAGTGATGGCTGGGAGCCGCCAGGAGAGCGGACATCCAGGAAGATGTTGACAGAGGTGTTTCCTATAAAGTTGATAGCAGAGCAAGTGTAGACACCATGGTCAGATGCATGGAGGGAGGGGATCACCAGCAGGGATCTGATCGTGTCTTCGTCCACTCTTTCCTGAGACTCTGGGGGAAAAAACGGGGATATAGTGTTATTTTAAGGGACATGCTGGCTTAGACAATAAAACTCACTTTGTTGTTTGTTACCTTAAGACATTTTTTCACATTTCACATTTCAGTTGAACACACATTATTTCATCAAATTCAGGTAATGTAGCCACTTTTTCCTATTAAAGAGAAAGGCTGAACAAAAATATGACCACTACACACATACACAGACAAACAAAAAATACTGGCACAGACATATACTAGACAGCTTTAAGATATAAATTGTAGGGCTGCAACTAACATTTATTTTAATTATTAATTAATTAGCACAATATCTTCTCAGTTATTCAAATAATCGTCTTATCCCTGTCAGAAAATAGTCAATAATGCCCATTACAATTTGTGTAAATCTAAGGTGACATTTGTTGTCCAGAACCTAAAGGTATTTCATTTATTATATTATCAGCAAATTCTCACAACTGAAATTTTGAAATTAGAAAATGGCAGATTTCCTAAATCTGGTTTGGGGGATTATCCTAAAGTATAAGGACATTGTAATATGTTCTTTTTTGGGACATATTTATGTGGCCCATGTATGTAATATGCATATAACATACATATAAGTATAATACAACTAAAATGTTTAATGTTTATTTACTGATGTAGTTAATTTATTATTGGTGTAATGTTTACATAGAAAAGAAGGTTAGAAAGGTTGTTCTCATAAACTTTAATTATCTATAGTGTGTGGAACAAACAATATCAGTCAGGTCCACATGGAATAAATAAAGTGGGAACTAATGCTTTATTTTTTGTTTATTAATTTACTTCTTGTAAATTAAAGACATAAATAAAGAGGAATTCAATTGAATGTTTTATAGATCAGTTATAAGCCATTTATAAGAAATAAAAATCATGTAGCTCTGAAATTCATCAGGAAGATGCTCTGATGGACCATTTGACTTCAGATCTTCTGGAGAACAATTGCAGAACAGTGGTGGACAAAAATAAATAAAAAGGACTCCAGTGCGCAGAAAGTTGTGATGCATTTATGATGAAACAGCTTATTAGGCTCAGGATTAGCACCCTAATGTTTTATCTACCATAGGGGCATCCAAGAGGGCACTTTTGCCCCCCTTACTCCACCAGGGTATCCAGAACAAAATGCATTTATTATTAAACTACTCATATTTAAAACAGCAGACTTTAAAGATTACAAATCCTTTAGTAAATGAAAATGACTGACTAGCTTTTGCATCTGGGTTATTAGAAAGTGAGTAATCCTTATGTCACTGAGAGCTGATTTCTTATTAGCAATTCAGACTCATTGCTCTTTAATAATGATTTTATGAATCATTCACCAGTGAGGGAGATTTTCAACCAAAACGTTTTCCTTATCAATGGCTTACAGCTGAACTACAAACATCATTTCAGTATAAAGCCACAATATAACCTGTATGAAGGGTGCCTTTATAAGTCATTATAAAGTGATTATTTTCATGACTGCTTTTACTTCTACTGGTATACTATAGATGTGTATATAGCCTACTTTTACTTGGGTTACAGCAACTCTGGTTCCTACCCAATATAATGACAGCTTACTAATGACTGTTAGCAGCAGAAGTGGTGTTAGTGATAGCAGTAGATGCACTAGTGGGATAAGCAGCAGCCTGGTTGCTTTCAGTTTATGATGGACTGGTTACATGCAGTCATTCTGTAGTAAGGACTCTCTCTCTCTCACACTCTGAAGGTTAAGTCTAATGACGCAGATGTTTATTTAATTACACAGTAGCCCAACACGGTTGACATTAGGTAGGCTGGCCTACACTATAATCTCCAACTCTCTTAATCAACACTGATGTTGCTGTGCAGATTGGAGAGCATCAGTGGCGATTATATCGCGGTGGGTCAGATTTAACTCACCTCATCTTAAGGAGGGCTTATAGGAGTCTGCGATTAAAATGTGTGTTTAAGTATCTAATTTAACACCAAGATGTCACTCAAGCTGGGTGTGGGAATGACATGCTGCGGACATCACACTCTTACCATGAAATCCTCTGATTATCTTCAGACCATATGTCCACCACACTGCGGGGTCTGGCCTGGCCTTGGCAAGGCAGCGCAGGGTGAGGTTTGCGCCCTGGGGCAGGCTGATGTTGGAGGACAGGGTAGTGACCACGGGCTTCACGCATGCCTGCAGCTCTACCTCGTGGAAGAACTTGCCCGTCCTAAAGTCCGGCCCTGAGCAGGTCAAGTAAGAGTTCATCAGTATAATCGGAGGACTTAGGGACTTGATGAACTCCACGAAGCCCTTCAGGCGACAGTCGCAGAGCCAGTCGTTGTCGTGGAGCGCCAGGACGACGTTCGGCCCGAAAGCGGTCGCCTCCCGCTCCTCCGCGCTCTGCAGTTTTTGGTAGAGAGGCCAGTTTTGGAAAACCTCCTTCGATATGACCGTAAGCCGATTGAAGGATAAGTCTAAGTAAGTCAGACCTGGCAAAAATTTTAACGCATGCTCCGGCAGGACGTCCAGCTGGTTGTGCTTCAGGTCCAGGATCTTTAGTGCCGGCGTGTCCTCGAACGCTGTCCATGGTACTGAACTCAGCTTGTTCCCTTGCAGACGGAGCTCGGTTAAATTCCCCAAACCCTCCAGACCATTTGAGTTTATCACTGTGATATCATTGAAGTTCAGCCATAAATTCTCCAAGGCGGGCGTCTGTGAGAATGCCCCTCTAGGGATTTCAGTGAAGTGAGATTTTTCTATGCGTATTTTGGTCATATCATCTGGAAGGTCCTGTGGTATGGCCCCAAACGCACTCTCCTCCATACATACCAGCGACCTATGATTAAAGGAACATGTTTGATGCAATATAAGCTATACAGTATTCATATATCAATTGTATTACTTTAATTTATCTACCGTCACCCACTGACACAGTTAGAAAGGCTAAAAATACCTCTGCCTTGGTAAAGGTTAGACTACGTGAAATCAGCTCTTACCTTCCATGACGGTCTTCTACACAGCTGCACCCGCGTAAACACTGAGAAAAAGGTTCATACCCCTGAATGTTAACCAAAACTATAACTAGCAGGTAACAAATTATGTCCATAGTCCGAGAAAATTCCCAAAGTTGAGGGCTACATTCGTGCTCAAGACATGTCGAGTGCGGCAGACAAGAGAAGCCTATTAAGCTTAATCCATGACGTACCGCGAGCAAGTGGCGTCTAATTCTTGGGAAAGACACGCATGATTAACACTGGACAGTAAGTGTCTGACCCAGAGGTCGGTGGCACCTTAAGTTATTATAGGTCACTTATAAACCTTTAATAGGAACACGTTTTGGGTTGCCAGTTTGAGAAAAATCCCTCTTACTGGCATTAATAATGCAGTTATAATAGTTGGCAAGCCATTAATAAGTACGTTGGAGTTCCACACTGTCTAATAAGCCATAATATCCGTAGTTATTTAAGTTAATAATAAGTTGGGAATACATTTAATTTAATTAAAAGTCAAGACTCTTGTGGTCCACAGAGGATTTTGTTGATGAATTAAAGAGATTTAAAAAAAAACTTCACAATCTGCCAGCCCTAAAGTTGTTCTTATTAGTGGGCTTATAACTGATTTATAAAGAATTAGTAAATTATTCATTAAGATAGATTAAGCCCATGCAACTTCTAAACCCTTTATAAAGGGTGACCTATCATAAAGTGGTACCTTTCAGTCTTAGACAGACACTGAGTCGAGTTGGCAAATCCACATGAATAAAATGAAGCATCGCCCTTTTCAAATCTGCACTCTGTATGGAAACCCAGTCTAAATCTTGATTAATATGGTGATTTGACAGTAGAAATATAAGAACACACAGTACCGCTAGCTGGATATGTATATATAAAAGTTTATTCAACTATTTTCAAATATTATCATTGGAATTAATAGATCTACATTTAACGGGGGAATGATGCCTCTAGGTGGCACAAAACAGGTACATAGAGATCATAGTATGTGTCTCATTGCTGGGAATAGAAATCATTTAACATTTTGCATCATTTCCACCCTATTTACATAGCTTCAAGTGTCATAGTTCAGTCCTTTCTGTACTTCTCTCCAGCTCCAGCTTTTCTCCATTCAGAGTGTTGAACCATGCCAATGTGTATATCTTCTCTGAGAACATATGACAGATATATACAGAGGCACAGACTTAACTGTATATGTAAGTGTACATCATCTAGTAAGTATATACAAATCATACACATACATATATGATATAAACAATAGAGTATCAACCGTTGAGTTCCCTTTAAGTCAGATCAGGTTACAGAGGTTTATTCGCTGGGCCATGCAAATGAGATGAAATATAAATTACAATGATTGTGATGCTCTTTCAGCCATTTTCTCTTACAGGCTTAGTGATAAAAACATTCTTTTAGACACAAAAGGATGAGTTTGTTTGAATGTTGTCTCACTATTAATGCATGGCTACATGTATGACAGTCCAGTGAGTTTCTCTCTATCTGCAGGAAACATGATAAATTCTAAACATATCTGGAAAAAACAAGTTAATTAAAATGTTAAATATTCTCTAAACTGATATTTCCATTATAGTGCAGCGTGCAAAAGTCCTTTGATAGAAGTTAGCTCTCTGTGGTGGTGGAGTTGGTGGCGTGATCCAGCGAGGAGGGACAGGTGGGGGGGAATCCCACGGTGTGGGTGTATGGGAGCGTGTGGGAGGGGGGCTGACGTCAGGATGCTGTTGAGGGTGAGAGTACAGGTAGTGACGGGGATATGGATGTGGGTGGAGATGGGGATGGGGATGCGGGTGGTGATGGTGATGATGATGGGCATGTGAATGGGTATTGGGGTTCGGACTGGGGCGTGGATGCGGGTGAGCTCGAGGGAGATGGCATGGAGCAGGAGCCGGAGCTGGAGCATGATGTCAGCAGAAGTACTCATTAGGCTGTCCCTCTATCTTAGCTGTGGCCTCAGAGTCCAGGCTGGAGCGGGCTGACAGCAACCTGTTGGACTCCTCTGGGTTCAGCCTGTTCAAATACTCTCCCTCGAGCCCTTTGGCCTTTGTGGCAGGGGACAGTGTTTCAAATGTCACATATGAATCTTGGATGTCCTTTGATTTCTTTCCCCAGTACTTCTGAATGCGTCTCTTCAGTGCCCCACAGCACACGATGACAGTTAGCGGGACCGCGATGATACAGGCCACTGTGATCACAATCACATTAATCAGCCTCTGGGTGCCAGTGGCACTGGCTGCTTCATCAGTGGAAAATATGACACATTGCTCCTTCTTGGGGATCAGCCCCCTCACACACACACAGGCAATGTACTTGGTCCTAGGCACCAGCCCATCGATGGTTACACGGTTCTGCCCCGCTCCAACATTGATCTTCCTCATGTCCCTCTCTCCAAACACAGCATACAGCACACTAAATGCTGTTGTGTTCTTGGCTTTAGGAGCCCTCCAGTTCAGAGAAATTGTATTGTCTGTGTCCCCCACCACCTTTACTGAGCGGACCACCCTGTCCGGGTCCTGCTGCAGCGATGAGGTGTTGGCCGCCAGGTTGCTTAGATTAGTCTTCTCCAGATACAGCAGCGCATCTGGGTTGGAGGAGGTGGCAGGCCCTGGGGTGGCTCTGTCAGCCAGGCTGTAAATGACAAGTCCAGGATCAGGACCAAGACCAGGTGGGAGGCCTGGATCCAGGGCAGGCATGGATGAAGGGGTGGAGGTTGGAACCACATACCTGGCCACCAGTTTCTCCTGGTAGGCTGCTTTGCCCATCTGGTTGGGTTTCTTGACTTTGGCTTTCTTGTCGTTGCTGGTTTGGTTCCCCTCTGGTTTTGGTGAATTAGAGACAAGGAGAGAAATGACAGCTTCAGCATTCCCCGCATAGTTACTGGCCTTGCAGATGTATTTCCCTGAATCACGGTAGGACACAGCTGAGACACTAAGGATGGACCAGGTGATTCCCTCCTTCGAGGTTTCCTGCTGAACTGTGGTGGGATAGAGGGGAGAATATGGTCATTAGACAATGGTTATAAAAGGACAACGATTTTAAATATGATGTGGCATCTGAGTAATATGCCCTTTCATAAATACACAAAGAGACACCAAGCAGGTGATTATACAGTGTAATCATCAGTTTTGCATAACTGACTGTTGTAGCAGCTGTCAGTCAGATTTACAACCTTACAACTATCTCCACTGGTAGCTTTCCATTTCATTAACAAAGCAGTGCAGACAAAAGCATCTTATCTCAGGCATAACACAGAGAATTACCCTGATATTCAAAGATCTACTGACTCACCTGTTCCATTAAGGAGTCGTCCATCTGCCCTGCGCCACGTCAGGTCTGGGATGGGGACTCCAATGGTACCACAGCGAAGCAGCACATTGTTCCCAACAGCGCTACGAACTCGTGCCACAGCTGTGTGGATACGTGGGAGCTGACAGCGTCGCAGCTCTGCGTCACTAAATAAGACTCCTGAGACACTCTCCGGAGCTGAACACCGGAGCCTTGTGTCAATGAACGCCACTGAAAGGGTCGGAAACTTCTGGAACTGGACCAGGTCGTAGAGCCGACAGTCACACACCCAGGGGTTGTCATGGAGACCTGAGGGTGAGGGTACAAGTGAGGCTACAGGAGAAAGATGAGCATCCAGCTGTGTGAAAAAAGTGATAGACCAGCCTGCAGATGGCTGGTGTGGATGTTAGGATGTTAATCCTGTAAGAGGATTAATATTTAATTCATAAACTACATCATGACCATGACTACAGCAATGATGGTGGTAGTGATGATGATGATGATGATGATGATGATGATGGTGGTGGTGGTGGTGATGGTGGTGATGGTGGTAGTGATGGTGGTAGTGGTGGTGGTCTAGTGATCCAGGTCAGGTTTTGCTGTCATTTCACCCTCCTGTCCTTGAACCTGGAACAGCTGCCCACTGTTCTGAGTATGAGAGTGGGTTATACACAGAAGATGAGCCAGTGGAAAATTAACTTTTATGACGTGCTGCAACACTGCTTACGCAGTTGATCTAAATTTAAAGGCAAAAAAAACAAGTCACGTTTTTTCCACAATTAAACCACGTCGTTGTCTCTGGTTCTAAAGGGTGACTTGGGGCAGAATGGGCCAAGGCACATACATACATATTAATAAAAACGTACAGTTTATAAGCACTATATATACTTAATAAATGTTTTATAACACACTGTAAGTTGTTAGCAGATGTAAGAACATTTTAAGGGTTCATAAATATACAGTAGCTATTTGTCTACAATTATGACTACTACAATCATTGACCAGTATCTTAATTACATCTATCAGATGCCGTGTTGCTTAGCAATTGTTTTGTCCTGCTGCTATTCAAGAATGTTTCTTTGCGCAAAATGTATTAACACCCTATCCTTTACGCACTGTGTTTAGCGGCGCGCTTTAAGTATTTTAAATTTGTTGGTTTTGTGAGAGAAGGTTGGCCATCAGGAGGCGCACTGTCCCTTACCAAGTATCATTTTGGAGCTCTCTGGCCCTTGCACGGGCTTTGCGGCCAGCCAAGTGGACAGCACCTCTGCCGGCAGGGTCAGCAGGCTGTTGCTGGACAGATCCAGGTAGGTGAGGTTCCTGATGTAAGTGGTGGCCTCCGCTGGCAGCGAGGTGAGCTGGTTGTTGTGCAAATCGAGAAGTCTGAGGCTGGGCATATCCATGAGGGATTCCCAGGGAAAGGCGGTGAGGGAATTCCCGTCCAGACGAAGCTCTTCCAGATTGAACAGTCCCCGGAAACTGTCTGGGTTCAAGGCGGACAGCGTGTTGAAAGACATCCACAGGAATTCCAGACTGGAGAGGTAGTTGAAGGCTTCGCTTGGTAGCCGCTGGATCGCTGTCTTCTCAATCCGCAGCTTGGACGTGTCAACAGGGAACCCAACAGGCACAAGAGATATCTCGGGATCATTGCAAATCACGCTCCTAAAAGAGAGATATCATGAATTCATTTATGTTCACCTCTAAATCATCCTTCTCAAATTACGCATTTAAGGACATTTAACATGTAACAAAGTGAATTTTAAAAAATGATTAAATCATGTTTTGACGTCCAGAGGACAGAAAAATGTGTATAATAAGTTCACAAGCAGCAAAAATGCTGTGGCTACTTATATTAAATATATTTATCTTCCAATCCATCCAAACT